CTCTCTATCTATCTATCTATCTATATCTATCTATCTATCTATCTATCTATCTCACACACACACACACACACTCACTCGAAATGACGACACACACACACACACTCACTCGAAATGACGACACACACACACTCACTCGAAATGACGACACACACACACACTCACTCGAAATGACGGGACACACACACACTCTCCTCCCCACCCTCTCTTCCTCCGTCTCTCCTCCCCCATATCTCCTCCACCATCTCTCTCTCTCTCTCTCTCTCACACACACACACACTCTCCTCCCCCACCTCTCTTCCTCCGTCTCTCCTCCCCCATCTCCTCTCTCTCTCTCTCTCTCTCTCTCTCTCTCTCTCTCTCTCTCTCTCTCTCTCTCTCACACACACACACACACACACACACATGCACATACACACAGAGGGGGTGGGGGGTGGGGGGTGGGGGGAGGGCGTCATGATTAATATTTTTTTTCCTGCACACATGGCGCACAGGCAGCAGCGCGCTGTGCAGTGTGCGCGCAGCTAAACCAGCGCACAGCGCACTGCGCAGTGCATACGTGCACCGCAACTATGGCCAATACTCTTAGGCCTCGGGTATCTCACTGCCGCTCATTAGAGATGACCCGGGCCAGACTGATTTATGACAGCAATGTCTGACAGCTACGATGTTTGGAAAAAAAAAAAAAAAAACAGGAAAAGAAAGATGGGGGAAAGCATGGGCCAGCGGCTTAGCTCAGTTGGTAGAGCACGACAGTGGCATTCAGGAGGTTGTGGGTTTGATTCCCCATGTCACCCATTCGACTCTCCATGACCCCCTGTGGCACACTTCGGGTTCACCAGCAGAGATAGTTGGCTAGCCCACCCCTGGTTGGTCTTGGTAACGGGGGTGTGCACTCCTTCCATCCCGTGCTTGGGGTTAGGAGCTTGGGTACTACTACCCGCGCAGGGTAGATAAGTATAAGGATTCCCTATGCTCCATAGTGGGATAGATAGGCTGGGGTAGACTAGGGAGGCTAAAACCCATAACCCATGGCTCGCTGTGTCGTACTGCATAGATTTGAATACCTGGCTGTGCCTGATTCCTGGACTGCTGGCTGATACTGGTCCAGGTTGGATGGATAGCTAGTGTGAGGATGAATTGAGAGAAGAAAATAGCATAGTAAAAATACAGCTGTCCCCCTGTATGAGGAGAAGACAACTGTATTTAGAAAAGGGGAGGAGGGGCGCAAAGGGGGGGGGGGGGGGGGGGAGGAGATGGAGGCATGTGCATTCTACTGCTTCAACTTACAGAAATGCCAGTGTATGTGCAGGTGACAGCAATGCCCTCCTTCCCCTCCAGAATTGCCTCTTCCGTCCCTTCTTCACTGATTGCTACAGCCGTGTCCACCAAGGTGCTGTTGACTTGCCGGATTTCCTCCTCCACGAGTGCCGTTAACTGCAAAACCAAAGTTCTAAGTTATTGAAGGATTACCATACCACATACAGGAAATTCACTCCACCTCACGTCAGCAAATACCCCGTCCTCCTCCAGAATTGCCTCTTCCATCCCTTCTTTAGTTTTCGGGTAAGGTACTTCTGATTAGAGAGCAATCCCTTTGGATTAAGACGGTCGCTCCGTCAATCCAGCAGTCCAAAGTTCCTTAACGTTGGCACTAGGACCAAATGGAAGTTTTTGTTGGACAACGACCCCACCACCTCTTGAGGTGCATCTGCCTGCATTTGGGAAGCCATTGGGAAATCAAACACCCGAGTGAGGGCTAGGCCCTACTGGTGTTAGGTTCATGATATAACCACACGAGTATGACCAGGTCCAGCTTTCCAAACACGAATGTAGTGCACCAATGGGGCCCGACTCCAACCGTCCAACAGTACGCCCTTGCACAATGTGTTTCTCAAAGCAGCAACTCTCTCGCAGAGACCAAGACACAGGGATCGAACAGCCAAACACAAAGGCACCGGAGAATCACAAAAGCTCCACGATAACCTCTGTCGCTTGTGATTGCTTTCCTTTTCCTGATGACAGTAGAGATCTGCAAGCTTACCAAAGTACTAAGAGCCGTCACCAGTCCTCATGCAGCACGGCTGAGCAAAGCTCTACTAAGCTATCAATCCCCATCACAACCAGTTCAGTTCCATCCACACATGCATACTCACACCACATCCCGCCCTCCTAGCTCCGGATCCAAACGTCCAGATGCTATCCAGGTGGTCTGGATTTCCGCTGTCCATGTCTGATGTAACCATGCCTGCATGCACTGCATACTTCATATGACAGAGAAGGGAACCGCTTCATTTGCCTAAATATTGAATTCATCCAAATCATGAAGGCGCAATGTAAGATGCTTGAATCGGGTTCAACATAATACCCACGTCTGCAGAAGGGAAGGAAAGGCCATTCGTAGTCTCCTTGAGTCTGACCTGAGTTCTCCAGCTGGGAAGAGGTGCGCAAACTTCACTGCCTTCACTTGACAACCTGTCTTGCTCAACCGATGAGTCAGCGCTCATGACCATTCCATCTGCGGAAACAAAGCTTGAAGCCACAGACTCGACTCTCTTTCTTGCCCTCTTGAACGATGTTTGGCCAATGCCGCCACCAGAAACAGTTGAACCTGTGCTAGTCGCACGCTTGACCCCGAATCCATTATTACCACCACCAGTGTTGCAGGCAGCACCAGAGCCCACCTTGCCTCCCACCATTCTCAGCCTCGTCGCCGATACAAGATCTTCCCCAAGCGCAGACTTCGAACCACTACCTGGAAGTGAAGGGGCCAGTCTATCCACACAGCCCACAATGGAAGAGATATCCACCAAAGCAGATCTCAGCCCCACAGAGTTGCTTGCTGTCATCATTTCTACCTGCAATAATCCCATGCAAGTCACCACAAAACCCATCACAACAAATCGACAACACAGGAACACATGTTACTTGCGTGACAACTTCCTTGCATAGTCCTAGATGTGTTGAGGTTCAATGCCACTTGGGCGCACAGAGGCCTCAAGCGAACGGGAGAGGGAGCGCCAAAATAGAAAGGTGAAAAAAAGAAAGAGAATGGGTGTCAGACACAGCATGAGAGGGGGAGCACAGAGGTAGGGCAGAGGTAGGGTGGAGCGCGCAGCGCTTTCTTTTTCTTTTCCCGTATCCCATTTCGGAGGAAGAGCGGAGCAGCGGAGGGGGTGCACAGAGCAAGGGCAAAGGGAGCGGGAGCGCAGAGGTATGGCAGTTGGGGAGCGTGGAGGTAGGAGGAACATGGTGGTAGTGCGTAGAGAGAGGGGAGGGGCGGAGGGCAGACGGGCAGCGTGGGAGGAACGTGGGAGCGGAAGGTGGAGGGGGAGGGGAGGAGTGCAGAGGTAGCGCAGAGGGGAGCGCGGAGGTAGCGCAGATGGGTAACGTGCAGCGTTTGTTTGTTTTTATTAACACAAGTGGACCCCGCCACGGCGCACAGCAACACTCGGTGATGACGTATCATTTTTGTTTCATGCCTCTCTCTCTCTCTCTCTCTCTCTTTGTTTCTTCCCATGTTGTGCTTGGCGGGCATCGGTGCTTGTCTTTTGCTCTCTCTCTCTCTCTCTCTCTCTCTCTCTCTCTCTGTGTGTTTCTTCCCGCGTTGTGCTTGGCGGGTGTCTGTGCTTGTCGTCTGCTCCGCCTCTCTCTCTCTCTCTCTCTCTCTCTCTCTCTCTCTCTCTCTCTGTGTCTCCTTACCTGGCCAGTCGCATCTGCCCGCTCTCTCTCTCTCTCTGTATCTGCGCAGTCGCATCCGGCCGCGCTGCGTATCTCTGTCTCTCTCTCTCTCTCATGCATGTTCGGTGGCCGTTCTCATGTGTCCAGATCATGGCAAGGCCGAAGCGCAAAAATACACACACATTCCATCGACAGGATGAGCAAAAACGGAATGAATCTTGCGCTGAAACGTGGAAATATACACTGCCACTTTTTAAATTTGCTCGTTCTATCGATCCAAGTAGCGTGCGGCGAGCCGTGGGGCTGGAG